GAAATGGACGGAGAAGTTTGGCCGAAACCGATTAATTCAGATGCAGTCAAGCGCTATTATGTGTAATCTTTGTGCTTTCCTATATGATGTAATTTGAACTACATCTGACCCGATTCCCATTTAAGAGGGGATATGTAGGCAGCCTTATGGGTTCGGTCACAATTCAATAAAAATTTCATTTCCCCCGCAATTGGAAACTAGCGCAGAATTTTGAGGAGGACCCTCAAAATTCCGAAGTAATTTCAGTCAATCATCGCAAGCAGCCGTCAGAAGCATCAATCCATTAAACTGGGGCAGAATTTTGAGGAGGACCCTCAAAATTCCGTAGCAAGAGAGGTTGCAATGTCTTGAGCCACGTCAGAGTCGTCGGTTCATCTAAAAGTTATTTCTTAAATATATACTTATGTCATATTTTTACAAATTCATGCATGTTTATTATTGAAGTCGCTTTGTTTAGCAACGCTACCCCAATGATACATACCGTTTCACCAGATCAAAGCCGAACGGGTCAAACAAGGCCAGCAGGGATACGAACTAACCTCTCCTCTACAAAACTCATGATTTTTCTTTGGATGCAGACATTTAGATTGCAAAAGCACCTGACATACTATACACTCACAAGACAAACATTGTTCAGGAATCCAACCCTCAGAATTGTTGCGTTTACCAACATTTGCTATCCACGCACGCTGGCGATATTCCCTATATCGCGATGTCCCCAGCAGTCACAATATCGCAATCTACTATCAGCTAAGAACTCTATTACCATTTGCCATTTTATTTTTATTTTTATTTTTTGCGTTGCATAAGGCTACCGTTCTGCCTTCCGAGACTAAACACAGTCTCCATCTGCATTTTTCTGCATTGCGTAAGGCTACCATTCTGCCTTCCGAGACTAACACTGTCTCCATCTGCATTTTTCTGCATTGCATATGGCTACCATTCTGCCTTCCGAGACTAAACATTGTCTCCATCTGCATTTTCTACATTGCATAAGGCTACCATTCTGCCTTCCGAGACTAAACACTGTCTCCGTCTGCATTTTCTGCATTGCATAAGGCTACCATTCTACCTTCCAAGACTAAACACTGTCTCCATCTGCATTTTTTCTGCATTGCATAAGGCTACCATTTTGCCTTCCGAGACTAAACACTGTCTCCATCTGCATTTTTCTGCATTTTATAAGGCTATCATTCTGCCTTCCGAGACTAAACACTGTCTCCACCTTATTTACACTTGCATGGCTGAAAGATCGCCACCTTACTTACGCTTGCATGGCTGAAAGATCGCCACTTTATTCACATTCTGCCTGCCTGAAAGATCGCCACTTTTATTTACGCTTGAAGAAGGATGCTGCAACCAGTTGGACTGAGGATTGTCAGAAGGCTTTTGACTAAAACAAAGAATACCTATCCGCACTGCCAGTCCTAGTCCCACTAGAGCCTGGTAGGCCACTGCTACTCTACCTCTCTCTATATTAGATGGGGCTTTCAGTTGTGTTTTGGGACAACATGAAGAGACGGGAAGAAAGGAGCAAGACATATATTACTTGAGTAAGAAGTTCACACCTTATGAAGCACGGTACTCTTTGCTAGAACTTACTTGCTGTGCTTTGACATGGACAACTCAAAAATTGAGGCATTACTTCTGTTCATATACCACATACCTCATATCAAGGATGGATCCTCTGAAGTACATCATTCAGAAGCCTATGCCTACCGGAAAGCTGGCCAAGTGGAAAATATTGCTGAGTGATTTCAATATCATCTATGTGACTCAGAAGGCAGTCAAAGGACAAGCTTTGGCAGATCATCTTGCCGAAAATCTTGTAGAAGGAGAATACAAATCATTAAAAACATATTTTTCTGACGAGGAAGTGTCATTCGTAGGAGAGGACATTGCTGAAGCCTATGACAGTTGGAGGATGTTTTTCGACGGAGCTGCAAACTTCAAAGGAGTGAGTATTGGAGCAGTTTTGGTGTTAGAGACATGTCCGTTGATACCCAATTTTTTCCCTAGGTATTTTTTTACATACAAATGCTTTCAAAATAGCATATATATGTATATATAAGTATGCCCAAATGTTTTAGTATTTTTCCCAATTTTTAAAGATTTTAAATCAATTTATTGCTCATTTTAGCAGTACAATAACCAATAATTATTCCCAAAATTATCATTTTGGTGAATAACTTATTTTACTCTCATATTTATACCAAAATATAGCTAAAGTAATTTTTATACATCTTTTACAATTTATTTAGTATTTTTTAAAGGATAAACTGCACGTAATTGCAATTTTAGCCTATTTTAAGAATTAATAGCATTCTATAATTATGAAATTGGTTCCAATATTTTTAAATTAATATTTATATATTATTAAATGATCCAGTACTTTTAATTCTCTTTCAAAATCATTTTTTACTATTTTTTATAAACTAAAAGGGGGAAAACTGGCTATTTAAAATTTGGCCTCATTTCGTTTCAATTGCAGCCCCATTACATTTCGATTATAGCCACATTGNTACGGCAAAGAAAATGGAAGGAACCAGGCTTATCTGAGAGTGACACAAGACGAAGTGAGGGAGAGATCTGAAATGCCAGATTTTATGGTGGACAAAGCTGTGGGCTGAGCTGCTGCATTACACAAACATACATTTGATACATATGCGTGGGTAAAGTCGTGAGAGGACTAAAACCAAAATATGATATCCATGGATGTGGAAGGTAGCATGCAACGGTAGCCTATTTCTCCTTCTAAAGCATCATTCAAAATTAATTAAATCATAAGACAAGACAGGCCAACTTTCACAAACAGTGCTTCTTTGACATTCAATTCAGCAGACTTAAACAGCTTATGGAACACCACAGAGTATTTAATAAAAACGTTTTGTGGCATCTGCAGGCAAAGCATGTTATTATGCTACACGGTCTCTCATTGAGGGTGCATAGCCAGGACTTGCATTTCACATAAATTAGGCTCTGAAATTAAGTTGTGTGATGCAAATGTTTGTGCATATAGACTCACCACGTTTAAAATATCTGGTAAGATGTCTCTCATCATTTTTTTTGTGTGTAGGGGGGGGGGGGGTGTAGTTGTACTAAATTTTCAATAGATCAAATGGACTAAAATAATTAGAGACTAACACAGATTACTCTTCTAAAGAAAAAGTAAAAAGGTTGAGAAGCGATACAAGAACATGAGCGTATACCTCAATTTGTCTCTGCTGCTCCTTGCACGATCGAGCAACAATTTCATGCACCGTATCACTAGATTACGGAGAATTTTAATTTATTTTAGATGAGGAAGTAAATGGCAACAACATCAACATGTGATATAGACAACAAAGCAATAAGAACACCGTGAAGTATCATTAAAACCAAATAAGGAACACAAAGGAAAACCAATTAATCACGCCCTTCTAACACAAGTTTCACAACGAAATCACTCCGTGATACCTCATATCATAGCCACAAGTCCCGGGTCTCAACCCACCATCATATACTCACGGCACCTTGTGCCCACATCTTGAATCACAACCACATGGATAACTCACGTGCCAAAATCACAATTCGCCCAGCATAGTCACAGTCTCACGGTCACAATCCGCCCGACATAGTCACAGACTCACAATCACAATCCTTCCGGCATAGTCACAGGCTCACAATCACAATCCGTCCGGCATGACCACGGGCTCACAATCACAATCCGTCCGGCATAATCACGGGCTCAATAGCAACATGAAAACGGATAATACAAGAACACATGGGTGATTAATAAATGTCAAGTTTCATACTCTTAGACTAGTATAAGTGGCATGCTACGACGTATGCTTGTGCAAGTGTACTACTGCAGCCCAAGTCAACACTTAATATCAAACACATCGAATAGCTCATCGAAACAACAAAACAAGTCACACGAGGTATATGACAAACACAAGGAAAAGCACACCATCACACAAAAATCACCAACACAATGTCTCCAAACCATCACACATCATCTTTGATATTGCCACCCTTATCTCTTCGATAGCCACCCGTATCACTCCGCCTTGACAATATCATTAGCCACAATTATCTCTCTTATAGCTACCCGTATCATTCCGTATAAAAGTCACCCTTATCACTCCGTGCAATAGCCACTCTTATCACTTTGCCCGGACAATAACACAATAGCCACCCGTATCACTCCGTACATTCAACGACAGTGAGATGCCACCCTTATGCCCCGTATAACAACAACGGTGAAATTCCATCCTCATACTTCGCATAACAACAACGGTGAAATGCCACTTTTATACTCCACATAACAACAATCGAACCACACAACAATTCGCACGTGCAATCATCACAACAACACAACATATCACTCGTATCATAAGTGCCCGTAGGCCACAACCTTTCCAAGGATTCAAGGATATCAATATTTTCACCACAAATAGCCCACAACTCAACACAATGTATATAGATTCCCAATAACAACAAATGAACGGATAAGTAACTCAACAAGGAACAACACCTCAAAAAAAAACCTGGAGCTAAACCGGACTGCATGAATACCTTGAATTGAGTTTCTGGAGAAGGGCAGAGAGGTGCCTAGGTTGCTGATTCACAACTTGAAGTGGCCAACTATCCGGTCCAGCAGTTGGCTGAGAAACACCATCTACAAATTCTGGGCTTCTATTAATCGCTTCTATAAAATTCTTGAAGTGATCCCCTTCACCTGGTTGCAGACGGGTTAATTCCACATCAACCTGGAAATCAAGCCATGATTTGGCCATGGCCCAGCAAGCAGACTGGAACAAGATAAAATTGATTTCAATATCATGAGCAACACTACAAATCAAAGAAGTGGCTGAAGGAAAAACAAAGAGAAGAGGAAACCAAGCTCCGTACAACAAATGCAGCAAATGGTTAGAAATAAGTACATCCTTTTGTTGGTTCAATTCATTAGCTAGCAGTTATGTTACTAAAGCTTGCATATTGCTACTAACTGAATGCCATAAGAGTATCAAGCACATAGAGATTTATTATCACTTTATTTATAATATATATTCTAGCTGTATCTCCACTAGTTTTGTTTGTTCAATTCAATCTAGCAGATACATCACTAAAGCACTTGAAGCAAACTTGGGAAATATAATCTATAATCTACAATTCAGGAGAGTGTTAGCATATGCCAAGGTTTAAACATATAAAATGGGCCAGGTCGCAATGATGGACCAGGACCATAGTACCATACTCATACATATTTCTTAAGAAAATATGTAATTCATTTTAAAAAAATCTTATGTCACATTTTTACATCTCATTTCTTTTTGATAACGTAAGCGTGATTTTATATATGGCATCCAGAAGATGCAAGGTGTACAAAAGAGTCAGCTATGAACAAAAAAGGAGCTAAGCAAGAGCTAAAGAGCTGACCAAATCAAAAAACTTCATATGAAAGACATTAGGAACTAAATTATGCCAACTATACAACCATAGAAGACATAGCCTTAAGCACCATAGGAGGAGTTGATATCCCGTCAAAACACCTGCGATTCCTTTCTGACCAGACACACCAAAAGATGCAGGCAGGAACCATTTGCCAGATTCTCCTGATGGACTTATCAACTGATGGACTTATCAACTTTCCAAAGAGACCAAAATTCATAGGCTTCTTTGATGCTCTGTGGCATAACCCAAATGATGCCAAAAATAGCAAGGAACATGTGCCAGATATCTGCAACAACTACAACTGAGCAATGAAGTAGAAGAGACACATGAAGCATCTGTTGACAGTCGGAATGCTTCTTCTGCTTAAATTATCTTGAGTTAATGCAGCCTCGTGTAAGGCTATCCAGCTAAAACATTTGACCTTTGTAGGGAGTTCTGTTTTCCAAATATATTTCCACGGCCATCTGTCAATAATCTCATTAAAAGAGCACAATTGAGAGTATCCTGCTTTTACTGTAATACAGACCATCCTTCCACTTCAAGCTATCAGCAGATTCTTGCACAAGTGAATAGCCCCCCATTTTTTCCAAAATGTTGAAGTAGTTTGGTAGCTCCCAATCTTGGAAATTTCTCCTGAACTGAATGTGCCAACAATTATCTTGCCAATTATGAGAAATGATGGAGTTCTGGTCACTAGCAATATGGTCCCCTCAATCCACATATCCTTCCAAAATCTGATGTTGGCGCCGTTTCCCACTTTGAAAGAGGTGCTACTGGAGAATTCACCCCAGAGTTTTAATATGTTTCCATGGGCCAACTCCATGTGGGCTACTTGAGAGCAAAGTGCACCAATGATTTTGAGAGACATGTTTTGCAATTACAACCTCCTTCCATAAAACGCTTCCCGGTTGGCTATATCTCCACAACCACTCCATGAGCATACACTTGTTATATATGGTTAGGTCCCTGATTCCCAATCCCAAATTGCTTAGGCATGGTAATCTTTGACCATTTAACATGATGAAATTTGTGCTCGTTGCTGCCTCCTTCCCACAAAAAAGGCTCTCCTGATTCTATCTAATTGCTTGGCCACCTTGCTTGGAATTGGGACGAGGGACATTAGATAACTAGGGATGCTATCCAACACACTATTAATGACGTGTCCAGTGACCCCCCCCCCCCCCCCCCCCAGAGAGATATTGCCTTTTCCAAGAAGCAAGTTTATTTTCAAATTTCTCTACCACTCCATTCCAAACCTCTGAAGACTTGTATTTAGCACCAAGTGGAAGGCCAAGGTAGGTGGTAGATAAAGAAGTTGTACCACAACACAGAATCTCAGCCAACTCCTCTAGAATAGGAACATTTTTAACAGGACATACATTGCTCTTTGACATATTGATGTGAAGGCCTGAGAGAGCTTCAAATAACTGGAGAGTGAGATTGAGATATAGGACTTGGGATCTCTCTGCCCCACAGAAAATCAAGGTACCATCAGCATATAGCATATGGGAAACTGAGAGAGAAAGACCAGAATTAAGACCAACATGGAAACCACTGAACCACTGGAGCTGTTTGGCTTTGTCTAACATCTTACTAAGACCCTTCATCACCAGAATAAAGAGAAAAGGTGAGAGAGGATCACCCTATCTTACCCCCTTTTGTGGAGAGAAAAAACCGATTGGTCCTCTGTTGACAAGAACTGAGAATTTGACAGCGGAAATACAAAATTTTATCCATCTCAGCCATCTATCACCAAAGCCCATTTTCTTAAGAATAGGGCAATAGATCTCATTTTGATCAAGTAATCTATACTATATTAAAAGCACGATGCCCCTTAGCGAAATATCGTTCGCCTTTTTTACCCCTTTAAAATAGAGTTTACACTGAACAAAATAGTCATTTGATTATCTTCCTAATATATAGGAATAACATTTAATTATTTTCCTTATATTTAAGAATAGTCATTTAATTATTCTCCTAATATTTAAAACTTTAATTTTTCTAACTCCTTATTATGATTTAGTTATAAGAAAATTGAAATGAAAAAACTATGCATAACTTACGTCTCTAATTTGTAATAAAAAAATATCCTCCTTTATTTAGGAGTTAATAGTTTTTTGGCGAATNCTGGAGAATTCACCCCAGAGTTTTAATATGTTTCCATGGGCCAACTCCATGTGGGCTACTTGAGAGCAAAGTGCACCAATGATTTTGAGAGACATGTTTTGCCATACCTCCTTCCATAAAAAGCTTCCCGGTTGGCTATATTTCCACAACCACTTCATGAGCATACACTTGTTATAGATGGTTAGGTCCCTGATTCCCAATCCCCCAAATTGCTTAGGCATGGTAATCTTTCACCATTTAACAAGATGAAATTTGTGCTCGTTGCTGCCTCCTTCCCACAAAAAACGCTCTCCTGATTCTATCTAATTGCTTGGCCACCTTGCTTGGAATTGGGACAAGGACATCAGATAACTAGGGATGCTATCCAACACACTATTAATGAGTCTCAGTCCCCCCCCCCCCCCCCCCCCCCAGAGANAGTTGTACCACAACACAGAATCTCAGCCAACTCCTCTAGAATAGGAACATTATTAACAGGATATACATTGCTCTTTGTCATACTGATATGAAGGCCTGAGAGAGCTTCAAATAACTGGAGAGTGAGATTGAGATATAGGACTTGGGATCTCTCTGCCCCACAGAAAATCAAGGTATCATCAGCATATAGCATATGGGAAACTGAGAGAGAAAGACCAGAATTAAGACCAACATGGAAACCACTGAACTACTGGAGCTGTTTGGCTTTGTCTAACATCTTACTAAGACCCTTCATCACCAGAATAAAGAGAAAAGGTGAGAGAGGATCACCCTGTCTTACCCCCTTTTGTGGAGAGAAAAAACCCATTGGTCCTATGTTGACAAGAACTGAGAATTTGACAGTGGAAATACAAAATTTTATCCATCTCAACCATCTATCACCAAAAGCCCATTTTCTTAAGAATAGGGCAATACATCTCATTTTGATCAAGTAATAAATTTATAGAATTTGGAAGAAAAAATACATATTTACAATTGTATAGGCATACAACTTTACATTCATAATTTCTTTGTCAATTTTTCTTTTTTTGAAATTTATTTCAGAGTGAATAAAATTGAAAAACAAAGCAATACTGTTATTTGAAGAATTAAATTAATATTGAAAAGAAAAAGTCGAGGGCAAGCGCAATTAGAATACCGGATAACCGGTGAATATGCCTCCCCAAGGGGTTAGGGTCTAGTTTCCCTTGACAAAGCCTCCCAATTTTAACGTTTTTAGCCACCCATGGACTATGTGCCAGTTTCTTAGGGGCGTATAGATCTATCCCCTTTTCATGCATATATCTAGAATAGATGCAGCTACCATAATTAGAGAATATTTTTTTGGTAAGGTAAATAACTTTATTAACAGTTGAGGAAATCGCGTATACCAAAAAGAGAACCTACACCAAAATATGGTTCTCCACAAAAGACCAATTCCTCTATACAAATAGGGACCTCCTAAGTAAAAAGAAACTAAAAGACTACTTTGAAATTTTACAAAATCTTATTCCACCCCTTCAAATGCTCTCCTATCTCTCTCTTTCCAAATAACCCACATGATTGCAAAGGGAGCAACAGCCCATGCCCTTAGACTTCTCTCCCCCCCCCCCCCCCTCCTGTGAGGCCAACTTTGTAATGCCTCCTTCACTGTACACGGCATCACCAATTGCATCCCAAACAAATTAAGGACCACCCTCCACAATCGATTAGCCACTTGATAATGCAATAGAGGATGACATTTTCGCTCGACATCACAAATTATAATTAGAGAATATATCAAAGAAATTGAATGATCCAACGTTCATATTGAAGGTCCTTTTTCCCAATCTCAATGTCCCCTTCTAGGAGATCGGAAGAGCACANTCTCAGTATCGACACGCGCAAATTGTCCTCCATCATGCCACTCCTACCTTGTCCCTAATAACCTAACGAGGGTGGTACACATAATAAATATAAACTATATACAAATAGTTAAGGAACGTCATAAATGAAAAAGTAAAATGAATGGTCATATAAAATAAGATTCTTTTTTTTATCAGGTAATTTAGAATTTCATTCAATCAGCATCCGAAAGATGCATTTAATTATATAAAAAGTTCATTTAATTATATAAAAAGTTATATAGCTCCTGCACGTTGCATCCACCCCTATCTATGAACTTAAGGAGCTGATATAAGATATTCAGATGCTTCGTGCACCGGGCAGCCCCTTTATGTTTCGCTAAATCCAGATGAATGGACACAACTTTTATAAAGTCGATTTCAAATA